GGGAGGTTTTGAAAGTCAGTTGAGGATTGGGAATTGGAGAAGGAAGAGGGAAGAATAGGCAGTGGGTTGGTTGGTTGAGTTGTATTGTGAGAGAGTGAGAGGAATTGTTAGGTGGAGTCAGATAGATAGTAGGGAATAATCAGTTTGAAGTTCTTAGGAACTAAGAATAAGAAACTGCCGAGAAAATTTAACTGTAACCATAAGATTATTCCTGCATTTAAAAATAAACTTGATTATTTGTTAATGTTAACAACTGACTGGACTCCGTGCGGCCCCGTGAGATACGGGGTGGTGGCAGCGGAAAAAGCAATTGCAGTGGTGGCACAGGGGCAATAGACCGTCAAACGTCCGGGGACCCTGTGTGATCGCTACACCAGCACTTACGGTTTCTCCCAAATAAACCATGGTATTTCTGGCTTACCAATCTTTTTTGCCCTGGTTTAGTCTGTAGATGTTAACAAAGCTATTCAAGCTCACGGCCTTGGAACCCGAGTCTTTATGACCATATGCCACACATTATAAACATTTTTAGATTTGTTCTGCTTTCCTTAGTGATGTGCAGTTATATTCATATTTCAGCATGCATGAGTGCCAAGAACAAAACGGCAGCATTTTAACGCCAGCTGTTGATTCACCTAGTTGCTTGCTTCCTAGAGCCAGGAAAACTTGAAGCTGATTTCCATTTCGTTTGCTGCATGCTGTCCAATTTAGAAGGATAAATAAAACAACGGCAAGGATGTCATCTCAGAGACAATACATGAGCAGCTCTTCATGCAGTTAGTGACTCACTAAGGCAAACTGAGTTCACGTATGGCAGCCCACCCGGTCTCATGATAGGTCCTGGTTTTTCTGTCTGCCTTGGTTTGAAAAAAATGGGGCAGATCACATGACATGATGAATTGTACTCAGCCTGAGCAGACCTGCAATTCTTGAACATACAATTCAAATCCTCAGGGAAGCATAACCATACGTCATGGCCTTGATGGCCTGATAGGAATAGGAACGGGGAAGAAACTAAACCCAGTTCACATTTAAAGATGAATCTACAATATTCACAATTTCTAACACAACATGCTAACCAAAAGATGTTCATCATTTAAAATGCACACTTCTCCAAATCTTGCAGTGCATTTGTTCAGCCAAGTAATGTGTCAAAGAATGCATATGATAAGGTAAAGTGGGCATTAAAAAGTATATATTTGTGAAAATAACATATAGAAATGTGTTGTATCGGGGGAACTGCTTTGCAAGACTTTCCACTAAAATGCTAATGAATTTTCATGAGGACCTTTAAAAACATCTTGCAGCCTGATTTGGAAATGTGGAGAACTGAACTAAAGATTGGAAAAACAAGAAATGGAGAGAAACTGAAATTGACAAAATCACCCATCCCTGCAAGAGAAAAAGGGATATAACTGAGCTGAAATGGGCACGGTAATGTGAAATTATCAAGGAAAGTTTGAAGCTCTGCTTCCTAATGACATTTTGAAATGGGACCCACCTCTACACTTATTCAACCTTTTGGGAATCCTTGTAAACTATCTCCACCTTTTGACCCTTAACTTTTCCCTTCTATAACAGACAAAGGAAGAATATCATATCAGCAGTTAACACTTGACAAGTTTTATATTTATATTTTTAATACAGTGGTACCTCGGGTTAGGAACTTAATTCGTTCTGGAGGTCTGTTCTTAACCTGAGGTACCACTTTAGCTAATGGGGCTTCCTGCTGCCACCGCTGTACGATTTCTGTTCTCATCCTAAAGCAAAGTTCTTAACCCGAGGTACAATTTCTGGATTAGCAGAATCGGTAACCTGAAGCATCTGTAACCTGAGCTAACACTGTAATCATATAGTTGTATATATAGGTAACACATATGTGCATATAATTTTAAGCATGGCATTTGGGAATAAGTGAGCAAGTCTATCTCTCAAGTGAATATCCAACAGAAATGAGTGTTTGCTGCTATTGGACTGGTGAAAGAAAAACAACCAATGGAAATTGCGGGGGCGAGGAGAGACATCTTGTTCTGGGTCACACAATAAAATGTCAGAGCCTAAAATTTAAGAAGTGCTGAGCTAGAGCATCTGGGGTTTTTTTTTAATGATCTTTCCCTCCATATTTAAATATAAATGTAAGTCCTTTAATATATAATTGGGTTTTTTTAAAATCCAGACTGTTTTATGCTGCCTAGGGCTACAATTAAATGGGTTTTTGCTGCTATCTTTTATTGTTCTTTGTTGAATTTAATTGTTATATATAATATTTTTAACATTACTTTGCTTGTAAGCTGCCCTGAAAATAATGACTTATGGGTGGTTATAATAATGTGGAAGGGGGGGTGGCATAGCAGAGATTGATAAAGCTAGGCTGATGTGGACAGAGAAGAAAATGTTACTCGGTCTCTCAAAAACTGTAACTAGTTCATACAGTAAAACTGATTGGCAGGAGATTCAGGACAGGTGAGAAAAAGGGAACCTATGGTTCTCCAGACATCATTAGATTAGATTCCTGCTCACATCAGCCCCAGCCAGCATGGCCAATGGTCAGAGATAATGGGAACATTTGGAAGTCTACAGATTCTCCATCACCAAATACACAAAAGGGCATATTTCACATACTGCTACCACAGATATGGGGATTAAAACCAGCTTCCTAGGATTTAAGGAATGCATTAAGGAGGAGCAGGCTATCTTTGGTCATTTGGTCATTTACACTGCCATTTTTAAATACAGTTACCACATTTAAAGTATGATTTTTGAGATGGAGCAATCAAAACTGTATATTAGCATTGTAAATGTAACCGCAGCAAAGGTTGTTTATTCTTTCACTTCTTTTTTGAGCTTTCTCACTTCTTGGAATCTGGAAGTTGCATATTCTGTGAAATTTGGTATTTTGATGTTTACCTCCAGAAGCTGTTCCCCAGTTGCAATTTAATTAAAAGGGCAGTATCTAAGATTCACCATATGTGACTGCCATCTGTAATAGCTGCAGTTCAAGTCTAAGGGCGACATTACTGCATGTACTGAAGCGTAGTTTTATAAGCGATGAAAGCTGTCACTTATGGTGTAGAAATTGTTATTATGGCTCATGATATTAGCACATCAGTGGGCTATAAAAGCTATCATTGGTTTTATTTTAATAACACATTTAACAGCGGGGGGAGTGGGGGACGAAGAGTTTCAATCCACAAACCAGGCAGATACATAAGAAGAAGAAACAATCTTGAAGATCCACAGATATCCTTGCAGTCAAAAATTAGACTGAAAATTCCTTCCAATTATAAGCTACTGGGAGCATAGCAAACTTAAGGTCAGACATTTCAAATATTGTGTATTGAGAACATGTGCAAGAATTTGAACTTTGAAGAACTGTAGAATGAAACGCCTAAGGGGATGTGGAATAAAGCTATAAACAAGGCCCATGAACCCCATCTGAAATTCAGCTAGATTGACAACCTGCTGGATTCTTTATCAAAACAAAACACATGAAAATTGTTGTGTTTTTTAGCTGTTATGCTTTGAGCCACAACTTCAGAATTCAATCTAATTTGCTGCAAAAGGGAGCTGATTTTTATACAGGTGGTTTTCTGGGGCAGTGGAGTTGAGGTGGTCCATGTGTCACAAAGAACGTCACTGGCAGACCAGGTAGACTTAATGAAAAGTTGGGGTTGTGTGACTGGTCACCCCAACTGAATACAGCTTGTGAAGTCAACCGGCACCAGCACCATGCTTTGGACAGATCCAACTCTATACATCTCATTAAGAATATGGGGCTTTTGGGACTGCGGCTCTACCAAGCAGGAACAATGGTGGGTGGCATCTTCTTAAATGGAAGAGATTTATCCTTGTGAAATGGAACAACAGTACGCATGTACTCTGGATAGAATGAGGAGTTGGAGAGGTAGAAGAAAGAGACAACACAAGGAGGATTTTCTGCCCTATACTGCAACCTGAACAGCGTAGAGGCAGGAACCAAAATATCTAGAGATAGGTTTCTACCACACTGTTCACTACACTTGCCATGGTTAGTGAATCACACTGCCCTCTGGTTAGGGAAGCCAGACCTCCTCCCATCTTTGAAGCTGCATAAGTGGCTGTCATAGGCCAGGAGTCAGCTTCACCTGCTGAACAGCAGCCTGAATTGGGAGAAGGCGGAGTGACTCCCCTTGCAGCTGACCAGTCTTCAAGAACACAGAGGAGAAGGCACTGATGAGAACCAGTGGGCTTCAACCTTCTTAAGCAGAGCTTCCAGCAGCAGTCAAGATGCTCGTAATAATGCTTGTTGTTTCTGGCCCTAACTTGCAGCTTCCTGCTCATCTTGACCCTTGACCTCTTGATCATCAGATTCCCTAACCCCTGGTCACCTGGATGGCTGTTTACCCGACCCTAGGACCTGACTGGACTTTGGATGCTGCCTCTGCCTCTAGGCAAGTACATCTCTGAGACTCTTCTGGCTGGCTGGCCTTCCACTCCCCTGAGCTATGCCCATGGTTGCTCAGCAACGAGATTACGGCAGTGGCCAGGTGTCATCTCCCCAGCTCCAAGTGTGAGAGCCAGTGTGGTGTAGTGGTTAAGAGCGGTAGGCTCGTAATCTGGGGAACCGGGTTCGCGTCTCTGCTCCTCCCCATGCAGCTGCTGGGTGACCTTGGGCTAGTCACACTTCTCTGAAGTCTCTCAGCCCCACTCACCTCACAGAGTGTTTGTTGTGGGGGAGGAAGGGAAAGGAGAATGTTAGCCGCTTTGAGACTCCTGAAGGGGAGTGATAAAGCGGGATATCAAATCCAAACCCCTCCTCCTCCTCCTCCTCTTCTTCTTCTTACAAAGTTTGAAGGTTGTGGGTTGTTTGACCTCTATGTGACCAAGGCATCTCCCTGGAGAGCTGTGGTTGCACAGGGCCAAACGGGCAACCACCTCCCCAAAGTTGTCAAGATGCCACTACTTGAAGCCATTTAGGGAACTTTCAGAGCGGTGACAGCCAAGCAGATACATCTGGGAAAGGACCATAGCTCAGTGACAGAGCATTTGCCTTGCATTCAGAAGGTCCCAGGTTCACTCCTCGGCATCTCCAGGTAGGGCTGAGAATTGTCACCTGCCTGAAACCCTTGGAGAGTCATCGCCAGTCAGTGAAGACAATACTCAGCTTTGGTCTGATTCAGTCTAAGGCTGTTTCCTGTGTTCAAGCAGCAATGCCCAACTGAATATGGTTCCTGTCCTGTTGACCCTTCCCTTTGGGCAAGGCTGACAGGGGGGATATTAGGCACTGTTACTCGAAGCCATCTTCAAATGGTGGCACTCAGGCATGTGCTTCTCGCCAGCTCTTCCCACTCAGGAACGTGAACTCATCCCGCTGATATTTCAACCTAGCATTGTAGCCCGCACAGATTTCTTACCGTTACTTTGATCCTGTATGCATGCATGACTGAATCATAAAGTAATTACAGCATTATTACACTTCCCCAGTGCTATTAAATCCTATTAACAATCTTTATGTGGTACACCACACCATTTAATACTGGTAACTCCTGCTGCTGAGGATTTCAAAAAAGCTCACATAAGAGGAGGCACAGGAGACTTTAATTACCACCAGCGTTAGTCTGCTGGTAGCAGGAAAGCCTGTTAACTTTGAAATAGTTGCCGCGACCTTTGGAAGCAGAAATGAATCACCAGCGCTTAACATCAAGGAAAAGCAATGCCTGGGGCTCAGAACTCTCTGAAAATAATGCCATATGCAGAAGCTCTTTGCTGCGGTGGGGGAAATATACTTTGCACCTGCTTGGAGGCACTTTCAGCAATTCTTCATTTAATTGATACCCCGTCATTCTGCATCCCATCCATGAACCCATGGCAGTGTGCACAGGGAGTTTCCAGGGAATTTTATAGCATTTGGTATGTTCATGGACTGCACCAAATCTTAAGGGGGGAGCGGGGATTCTAGGAATGCATCCTGGTGAGTCCTAGCACAAATTAAGACCTGTGGATTATGGTATAACACATATTATGCAGGATGTGGCTGCTAGCCTAGCAAGTAGGGCAGCTAAAGCAATCATGTGCCATCAGTCTTGAAAACACTGCATGGGCTGCCAGTGAGCTACCAGGCTAAGTTCAAGGTGTTAGCACTAATATATAAGGCCCTAACTGTCTTGGGACCCAAGTACCTAAAAGAGCACCTTCCCCAACAAACCATCTTGCATCCTACAATCATAGAATCATAGAACCTTTCAGCTGGAAGGGACCCAAGGGTTATCAAGTCCAATCCCCGGCAATGCAGGAATCTCAGCTACAGCATCCTTGACAGGTGGCTATTCAACAGCAGTGTCCGCAACTTTGGTCCACCCCAGGCATCTAACCTCTGCTTCAAAACCTCCATGGAAGGAGAGTCCACCATCTTAAAAGGAAGTCCGTTCCACTGCCGAACAGCTCTTACTGTCAGAAGGTTTCCCCCCTGAATGTTTAGTCAGAATTTCCTTTCTTGTAACTTGAAGCCATTGGTTCGAGTCCTACCCTCCAGGGCAGGAGTAAACTAGCATGTTCCGTCTTCCATGTGACAACCCTTGAGATATTTGAAGATGGCTATCTGAAGATCAGGAGGTGGTACCTTTTTGGTGCTGCCGCCACCGTTAGGGAATGCCTGGCTAACATTGATCCAGTCCAACGTCTGAAGGGTCACAGCTTAGCTATCCTTGTCCTACACACGAAGTAAAATGCTTGGTCTAGAGAAAATTATCAACATCCTCCACCCCCCACAAAAAATCCCTTGGTGAGAGCTGTCCCCGCCCCCACAAATGCCAATGGTTCTCTATTTTCATAAACAAAGCTAAAAATCCAAGGCTAAAAATCACATCCAGTAAGATATTAAATAAAATACTTTTCAGATAACACACTCCACACAAAACATCGAAGTTCTGCTGCTTCGAAGAGCGGCAAAACATAAATGCCTTTTTTGTAGTGACAAGTTTACCTTGTTCCCAAATAACATCATTTTGCTTCCAAAGAATGGTAACTATATACGTCTGCTAGGTTCAGCAAAGTTACATTTCATTTATGATTGCACAGATGACAATCAGCCCTAGGAACCAAAACCCTGGTGGCACAGTACCCATCGATTGCCTAGGCTAGGGGCTCTATAATGAGGGGAAAAGCCACAGAATATCAGCTTTTTAGGAGTGGAAGAAGATGTCACGTTTCAGTAGGTTAGGAATGCCAATATATCATTATCAAGGATTTGTTTTAAACTCGCAGCAGTTGCTTCTCCAATGTTTTTCAGCGTTATAGCCAATTATAGCACGCGAGATGAAAAACTGCAACAGCAGTCAGTTGTGAGCTCCCAGTCAGGCTGTAATTACTCTTGGAAGAGAGGATATGAATCAACAGACAGTCACGGTAGCCAGGACAACAGCCAGCCAGCCCCCCAAAAGCCCCTATTCAAAATGGAGCTACATTGACTCTGAAACACATAATCAACAGGCCGACAAAGACCCAGCCATTCTTGGCAGCTTATGTGTTGGCGATGATTCTCAACCTCAATAAGGGAGTAGTGCTGGCAACGGGGCACTAAAGCTCAAACCCATTCAGGTAATGGAGATATCCTGGCAGGGGATCTGGAACTGTCCACCAATGCCATCAACAACTGGGGGTTTCAAGGCCCCTACTTTGTGGGTACTCTTTTGGCAGAGACGCTCCAACACTGAAAGACTATAACAGCTATCGATGCAACCGCAGTTGCCAAGTTCTGATGGATGCCAACGAAAAAGACTGACTCACAAAGCTATTTTTGAAGCCTTCTGCCTAATAGGACGAAACAACAAAAGAAAGGTTTGAACAAATACATTCCCAGAGAATAACTGGATTACATATAGAGGTCCTGTTTCTAGGTGTATTCATTCTATTTATTTAGGGTTTTTTTTAAATAAATGGGCAGCGGTTAGAAAATGCTAGCACTGAGAATAGAAGTTACTGGGTGCTATTCAACCATTTATTATTTTATTTGTTATTTATTTATTAAATTTGTATACCCTATACCCACAGGTCACAGGGTGGTTCACAACATAAAATCACAATATAAAAACACAAAATACATAATAAAAAGAACAACCAGGTTTTAGTCAGATGTATTGAAATCAATGGACTTCACAGTCACGCTCATTCATTTCCATGAGTCTTCTCACAGAGGGTTATCTGATCCCATTTAGACCCTGTTTGTATGTAGTGCTTAGCTAAACCAGGGCTTAGTACTAACCTGTGTACTCCCAAAAGAACCCTTTCCCTTGTATCATGTAGCATCACAGATGTTGCAGATGGAGCATGCAACACTGAGGTGGGCCTACTCAGCCCAGTCCTCTTCCTTGGTCCCATGTTATTCAAGATGGAAGCAATGAACACTCTAACAGGGTTTTAACATCACTAGTGATTTCAGTCTAATTCAGAGCGCATTCAGAAGGAACTACGCTCTTTGGTCATGGAGACAATGTAAGTGTCCGGAGACCTGCTTTTTATCATATATTAAAAAGATCAGCCATGAAAGGATTTCCCATGTGATCATCCGAAGGAAATCAAAGAACAGACTTCATCACTATGCAAAACACCTTGAGGTCAGCTTCCCCCCTGCCTGAAAAATAGCTCTGTTTGGTGCTTAATGAAATCCACCACTTTTCCCTCCAACCATTTCTATAGGGCTTTTCTGTGCTTATTTCACAGCTCCCTTTCTGCTGGTGCTACACGTCAGAGAAGTCTTAACACACAATGATATCCCTCATGCAATTGTTTCCCGCAATCTCAAGTGTTGTTGAGAAATGAAGCACTGCAAAAAGAAAAGAGGTAACTGCATGCAGCAAGATCCACTTTGATAATATAGGATGCTCACAATGACTGTGGGTGCTATTGAGAGCGGAACACAGGTAACTGCATCACAGCAAGCTGTTGCTCTCTGGTTAACTATCACCATCTTTTTTTTAGGTCGTAAGCATGACAATGGACAGTTGCTTTTGATGTGATTCAGATCAAGAAAATTGGGATTTCCAGGTACAGGTGGGGGCCAAGGGTTCCACCATATTATAGGGCAGATAACAACTAGAGATGAGCTGGATGACTTGGTTCTGCTCTGAAAAGTCTTGATGGGGAATGGAAGGGAATAGTCCATCAAAACACCAAGCAAGCACAAATGGTCTTGGCAGCATCTGAAAGTCTCCAACACCTAATGCAACTTCCCACAAGCATGTCAGTGGTTCCTACGACTTGAAGCTGCATGCAAAATATCTCAAGGGAGCTTTGCCACGGGAGCTTCAGAGAGGTCCAAATCTCTGATGTGTAGCCTTCTTAGCCTCCCTAGCAATAATGTAGCCTCCTTAGCAAGATTAGAATCACACCCATTGCTCCACCCACTTTTGCCTCTAGCCCCGCCCACCACTGACATTGACATAAAGGCCCTGGAAGTTGCCTACCCCTTCCCTAGGGCCACAAATCAGCTACTTCAGCCTTAAGTTAGAGCCAGTTAAGTTAGAGCCAGTGTGGTGTAGTGGTTAAGAGTGGCGGACTCATAATCTGGTGAACCGGGTTCGATTCCCCGCTCCTTCACATGCAGCTGCTGGGTGACCTTAGGCCAGTCACACTTCTCTGAAGTCTCTCAGCCTCACTCACCTCACAGAGTGTTTGTTGTGGGGGAGGAAGGGAAAAAGGAGATTGTTAGCCGCTTTGAGACTCCTTAGGGTAGTGATAAAGCAGGATATCAAATCCAAACTCTTCTTCTAAGTTTTCCCAATGAACACATGCCCTCTGCCTCTCATCGAGCCTCAATTGAAGTGCTACCTTTTTGTATTACCTTTAAAACAATAGAGCATGAGACTCATATTTCAGGGTTGTGGCTTTGGGCCCCACATTGGGCACTGCAGGGGGTTGGACTAGATGACACTCGGGGTCTCTTCCAACTCTACAGTTCTATGATTCTAAGTGGCTTGTAACATGGGCACTCAACCTATGCAAATCGTTGATTGACTGCCAGACCTGAATCCTTTCTCTACTAAGCTAAGGAGCAATGGGCTTTCTGCTGAAATCAATGGGACCCATTGTGAAAAT